TAGAAAACTGCCTTCATTAATTACCTGGATCTACTTGTTCTCCTTGGTGGTAACGATACAATGGATGAGGCATCCAAAATCAACTTACTGCGTCATTTCTTAGGCAACGAGGGGCAGCGATATTTCGTGGCCTGCAACTACATAGAAAACAAAACTTACAAGCTGTTTTCCACTCTCTTGTGGGGTGAAAAGACACGTGCTTACACCACGTTACAAATTTAAAACCATGTGGCACTAGCAGAACGAACCTATAAATGAGTTTATTTCCCGACTCCTAACTGCTCTTCCTAGCTGTGCCTAAAACCAGATTAAGTCTGCCCACTACGAAGACGTAATGCTTTTACTGGCCTTACTTGTTGGTGTTCTTGACGATACGTCACGATAGCGCTTGTTATCGGAAAATTAAATGACCTTGACTTGGGAAGGAGAGGCGGGAGGAGTGGACACCTCCAGAAATTGTGTCTTGTCAGCTGAAATTCCGCTGCACAGGGAGACCCTAAAACTACAAATCAGATCACGGAGGGGTTTAACCAGAATTGGAAAAACACCACAACCGTTTTTAATCACAATATCACCGCGGAGAAACAATTTGTCGTGTCTATCCAAGTTAACGAGTAACCTGTAGATTTCTAACTTGGTATCGGCTCCGCAGTTACGTATCAACGTAAATGATGTCTTACCGCAACTGCAAAAATTAGATCATCCTACAATCCAACTACGATTTCACACTAGACTATTGGTAACCGTATTGTGTACTTTCCTTGCCGCATATCCTACGGAAACTCGACGGATAACATCCGAATATAATTTCTGGGGCACCCGGCCCTAACATACCTGGTCGCCAACTGATCAGACGTCTACCTGGCATCATGCCAAACACCAACATTGTGGAAGCTCGTCCGCAACTCTCCGGAATTTTGCAAAAAGATGTGCGAAAATCAATAATAGCGCTAGTAGGTCTCGTTGGTTTGACCTTCACAAAATTCACTGAACTTCTCAATGACCTTCTCCAAATTATTGTAATCTTCGGCTTTGTCGTAGTGCAATGTCTCTAGAACATGGTTCGCGTCATCCCCGGCTGCGTGTCGAAACATGGTCATCGGTTGTTCGTCCTAACGTACTAAGGTGCAGAACTCCATCCACTTGCTCCTCCATAGACGCCAATTACTCACGAAATTCCGTTCCTCCATAATCAATTGGGCAGGCATCTGAATGGACGCTGGTGATTCAAGCAGCACCCGACCGCCGCCGATGGGTTCGTCTGTCTTCTCTGAAACCATGTTACAGAACTCAGTCCTTCAGGGACAGGCGTTTATTCAGCGCAACTTACAGAACCTTCGATAAGCCAAACTCCTCGATATAAGTTACGCGTCCACGTCCATAACTAACGACCCTTCTGAGGCAATGAGGTTCTTCCTTTGACTCAGTTAAACAAACGATGACTAACCCACATGAATGTCGACTAATCCATGTCCAGCAATCAAATCAGTCACACGCGCCTCCCATTGGTTATCTGGCTTGCTCGGTTGGCCCGTCCGTTCACGCTGGTATAACACTCCTATCACCTTCTCCCTTTTTTCCTGTCCTTGTGTCTCTATATTGCTATGCACCCCGTACACCTTGCCACTCCGCGTCATCTTCGTTGTATCTGTGACCATGCTTTTATTGCCAAACCTCATCGTGCGTTCCACTCCCAGTTCACCTTGTTGTCTCTGGTGTCGTCTCAAATGCACTCGATTTCTTCTGAGCGTTTTCCCTCCAACATTTATTTCGTATGACCTTGCACCGACCTTCGCAGTCACCACACCTTTCTTCCACCGCTCTTGATCATCGGTTGCCGCTTGAACCCACACTTCTTCGTTCCCTGTCAGCTCAGACAGCATCCGTGCACCGCGATCGTAGTACCGTTTCTGGGTGGTCGTTTGTCTTGTCGGATTGTTCTGTAACCTCTCATACCGTGGCAAAACTGGGCGCAAAGTGTGGCAGATGCTAACATCAGCGTTCTAGCCCTTCGACTGTATAGGCGCTGCACTGGGCTCAAGCTGATGTCCGTTGAAGGTGTGTTGCGATTCTCCAGTAACATGAGGTACGGGTCTTGGCCAGTAACTCTAGCCTTTAATAACAGTCGTTTGGTCTGTTTCACTGCTGACTCTGCTTTTCTATTCGATTGATTGTGCTATGGGCTGGTTTTCTGCTGCATGAATTCCCACTTGGTTGCGTACGTATGGAACGCAGCTCTAGTAAACTGAGGACCATTGTCGGAAACCAGCTCTTCTGGTGTTCCGTACCGCGCGAATTCACATCTGAGCTTGTTGATTACTGCTTCTGTGGTCGTAGTAGTGAGTAACTCGATTTCTAAATAATCACCATAATAATCCACCGTGAGATAATCTTCTCGTTATCACTGAATAAATCCACCGCCGCCTGCCATGGTCCATCAGGGACATCGTGCAGCAGCATTTGTTCCCTCTTCTGCCGGATTCTGTGTGAACGGCACGCCTCACAATTCGACACAATCTCTGATTTGACCCTTCATTCCTGGCCAACAGATCATTTCTGTTGTTCGGTTAATGGCATAGTTGGCACCCAGATTAGCGCGATGAATGTATTTCAGCATTTCTCCTCTGAGCGATGACGGAAACAGAATACGGCTTCCTTTGAACAGAAAACCATCCGCAATCATCTTCTCAATCTGCGCATAGTGCTGTTCGGTCACGGTGAGTTCTCGGCTGCGACAGTCCATAGGTTTTCCATTCTGAAAGAGAACAGCACTTATTCCGTTATTTCTACTGTCACACTGTTCGTCCACTGGTTGCACTGAATCGTATTATCCAAGTACCCTCGCGTTGCTGATAAGGTGCTCAATAGTTGCCAACGCGGTTTCCTGTTCCTTTCCCCAACTCCACTTTACTCCTTTGTGTGTTAGCTTCTGATCAGCGTGATAATGTTAGCGAGTCTAGGCATAAAACGGCTCAAATAATTCACCATACCGTTTAAGCGGTGGGTTCTCTTCATGTCGCTGAGAGGTTGCATCTCTCGTATTGCCTTGATTTTACCTGGACCGATCCGGATCCCTTGGGTGGTTAACACATGTCCATGGAAATTCACGTCTTCTTTCAAATTCCTTGCGTTTTTAGCCGGCAAAATACCACTGCTGATGCCCGCAGTCGGCATCCTTCACCGGAATCGCCTTAGGAGCAACCTGTCCCACAGGTGCTCTTTAATCTGATGCAGCACCTTGACAATTTTCCTGTTGCCGCAATAGTCGCACGCCGAGAAACTCATAGAGACCCTGTTTTAGCCCTCGTGAAACGCTGTGTTTATGTCGAGTGGCCAGCAAATATGACTAAGCAACACATGTCTCTTCGTAACATAGTGACCAAACTTAGTCTCCATAACGGATGTGTATTGTGGAATTCTTTTGTTGTAGTCTCCAAAAGGCTGCGTTCAGTTATCTTGGATGAACTGCATGATGCACACCCTGGAGTCGCTAATATGAAGTCGCTAGGTCGCATATATGTATGGTGGCATGTTTTAGACGAACATTGCGACGAAAGTTGGAGGTTGCGTGCTTTATCATTAGTATTGGTTCGCTGTGCCCCACGTGCCAATGCAGCCATGGAAGTGGCCAGGAGCAACATGGAAACGTATTCAGGTAGACTTTTAGGCCCTTTCGAAGGTCAGGTTATCTTGTCGACCATTGATGCCCATTCCGAGTCGATTGGTGCCCACGTCCTGACTACAGCAAATTCAGCTAATACAATAGTTGAACGTTAGTAGTTGTATCACCTTTGTTGGTTACGTTTCTGTGGAAGTTACTTCTATTACAGGTCCATGTAGCTTTTCAACATGTCACTCGTTTATACAATCAACAATGTTGTGGTCCAAAGTGACACGAGTTATATGGTTTCTCGCAGGCTCCTAACTGGTATCCTGTTGTATACTAGAGCACGCGATACTGGGCGAGTAGATTGTATTTGTTAAGTAAACCTGATGCCGAACAGAATACCCCAGGGTGAGAAAGGTGAATTCCAGAAAGTACAGACTACTACTAATACAGTGGACCGTTGAAACATGTGTGCTTTTATAAGAACTGAGAGCTTCACTGAAGTCGCATGTTTTTGTGTACCAGGTGACAAGAACGATGCTCTGTAGTGCAAATGAAACATATTTTTCAAAACGTTATGGGAAATTTCTCTATCTACACGCTCATCTGTAATCAGTAGCACACTTCACGTTAGGTATTCGCTATTTGGTGCAGTTACAAAGTTCGAACACTGTACTGTGTCACCGTCTAGCTTTAGGTTTTCCGGACCCTGGGTTTTACTTGGATTAGCTTGATGTTAACCTAATTAAAGGGATATCAGTCCATTGATCAAAGGTCGATACACAACGCAGCGATGTGGCATGTTATTGCATGGATCCGGAACATGGACATTTCGTAGTGGGGACTTTGTGAGATTGGTCATCTTTCAATATCCTTGTTCACGGAGCGTTGCTCACATGCGAGGAGTACAGGTGGTAGGCAGTGCTGATATTCACCAATCGGTGTTCAGCAAGAAGTCCCTTGCCTATTAAATTTGTACCATCTACTTTGGTCAATCATTTATTCTCTATACTCGTCTTCCGCGTACTTCAGCCTTCGTCCGGTGCAACAGCGAGGCGACCAGTCATTAAAATGGGGTTAAGTTATGGAAGATCAGGGGAGAGGATGCTATATGTAATCTTCATGGTTGGAGCTTCTGGAGGCCTTACCGAATGTGGCGCAGTCCCCGACCGGCGTTTCTTTACTCGTTTTATTGTGTCTACTCGTTATTGTCCCACCAGAATTTCTTTACCCTCTTTTATCTTCTTCGCCTTTCTTTGTGTTCCACACGCGCTCTAATCGTTAATTGCCTTAAACTTGTTGACGCAAATCGTGGCAACTGTATCCAACGCACTTTCGTTTCGCCTTTCTACTTGTTTAGCTGAATCTGACTGATATTATTCTTCCCTCGCAGACTATCAACCCTCCACAAGACTATCACCGAACTCGCATGGAGTCCAACACACCCTGATCTGCTGATTGTTGGCGCTCGCGGCGGCTACGTAGAAGTACTGCGCACCGACTCGCTGCTAACCTCTCTCCAGCAATTTAGTGTGCTGAATTCGGCCATTACCACCGATACTTCTACACCTTGCCATCTAACCGGCCTATGCCTTGTTCCCCGACCAGATTGGCTGTCAGGGGGAGGCAGTCAGTTTAAGGCCGGCTTGTTGGACGCAACTTCTTCTGCGGTGTGTGATGCTTCAATTTCTGACCGATCCGAAGCCGATACTTCTGTAGCAACAAAAGCCTTTTGCGGCCTGGAACCCTTTAAACGACATTTCGGTTGGCAGTTTGACGACTTGGTCAGAGTTCACCTACCATCCACCTGTGAAGTAAGCGAACTCGTTGCGCCGCATATTTTCATGTGATAGAAGCGACTCTGAATCTCTTTCTCTGTATTTAGCTCTCACTTCCTCTTTGCTCGACTCCCTATTTTCACAAGTTTTATTTGGGAATCACACGAACACGACCGTCTGTCCGTCTTGTGCACATCTCGCCATATATAGTTCGCATATTACCTTTTATTACTCAATGACACGGTACTTGCGAATTGTTAAAACTCACACAGGAGTTATCATGTAATGTCCTCCTGGTCTAAAATGTGTTTTATCTAGTATTTTATATTACTCACGAGTAGCAGGATTTTTGTTGTATTTCTGATAAGGCTTCATCCCAATAGTTCACAAGTTACATAGCAGAGCCTAGTCCGGAAAAGCGCCAGACGCGTTTCGCCCTATTGGGGCTCGTCAGTGGCGCGCATTCCCTCGGTCCTCTAAGGAGGATCGAACCATGACCGCTAGAGGCAGATGCCAACTAGCCAGCAACTTAAGCCACTGAGTCATGGGGGACGTTGGCTGGGCTACATAATTTGTAAACTAACTGGGATATAGTACCACTTATATAGCACCATTACCTTATCTAGTATTTACTCCTAATGTTGAGTCGCATCTCTTTAATTACTTCATCTCCTTACCAAACTGCTCTAATTGCTATCTAGGCTTTGCTATCTACTCGGCTGGCCAATCTAGACTACACTGACAGCTCTGATCCAACTTTTATCCAACACCATCAGATCCTTTGACCCAGAGCACTAGTTGCTTCGGTGTGCAGAGTATTGCAGTTACACTGCTCTGCTTTATATTCACACGATGACGGCTGCCTGCTTTTCGTCTGCGTCCGATTTCTTGCTAGCTTCCTTGTCCGCGCAAACATTTGTTGTTCGGAGTCAAACCATTAGTACAAAGTACTGACGTGTTGCTGTTTATGCTTGATAGGCAGTATATTAGTAATGACTGTTGCGGTAGCGCCAGACGTGTCCCTGGCTCCGGTTATCACCTAATGATCATCAGACAATCGGTCGGTATAGAATTCTAAATGTTTATATCACTTTTAGGCCTTCACCACTCAAGAAGGCAACGAGCTGTTACTAAATCGGTCAGGCGCGAGAGGCATGACTGCCATGAGTACAGCTCTGTTCATTGAATGAAAAACGTGATAACTTCGCATTGCAAAGACAAACCGTATGACCCCCTTTAAGCGAAAGTGTACTTTTGTGGTGTGCCACGTATCTGGTTACAACGTCGAACGGATAATTTTAAAGACCGCTCCTTTATCCTTGTAAAGAGATTGTCTCGTTTCGCACTGCCATTTTGCTGAACTTTGACCGTCTGCGCTTGGTTTATCAATTTTGCTTGCGTAACCGCCACATCTATTGATTTCACCTGCTTAATTTGGCCAAACGATAAAGTGGTAATTACGGATAATATAACTGTTCTCCTAACCGACTCGCTCCAATCTCTGCCTTGTTGTTTTATTTTTATTTTCTTGTTGTTGGATGAGACCATCAAAATTGGCCCGGTATTCGCAAGCCCTACTCATTAGGACGCAGTCAAGCCAGAAACATCTTTGCACTCGCTTCTTTGTCCCAAACTTTAGTCTCCTCATCTCAACTGCTACAATTTCCTGCCCATCTTTCTCTGAGTTTATATATATATATATATATATATATATATATATATATATATATATATATATATAGCACTCTACTCGGAAAATTAGCAAGTTGCTAGCAAGAAATAAGAAGCAAGGCGACTAGACGATGTTCAGGCTACATTATAGTCATGCTAATGCAACCGAATTGTGTACGCAGCGAGTGCCACTGCAGACTCTTCTTTTTATCGTGAATCACGATCACTGCTCAAAGGCGGTGACGTAGATTCCCCTGTCCTTGTATGGGCCTTCGTGTGTCTACTGTGGGTGTGTGTGCGAACCTATGCAGCTACTGGGCTATTAGAACAGTGTAGACAATCATGATTTCATCAAATCCAGTGTTGCCTTATTAGTCTTGTGGTGCACGAAACGACCAGAATGAGCGACGAACGACAATCATCCTTTGCTCGCGTGACTGCTATGTGATCTGGACATTATCTAGTCTCCTTATTTCCTTGTTCTTGATAACAGACTGCAGCCGTAGGCCATCAAAGCTCGACTGAGTTTGGTGGAGTCATGATAACCTGCCGTTCAGTTGATCAACTATGATCCGAGCCACGCAATGCGTTGGATCCAGTTGCCACGACTCACATCGCAAGAATAACGATAAATAACACTGGAAAGATAATGTGGTTAAGGCTACTTAGCATGCAACTAAAATGGAAGCAAGAAGGAAGTGCGTTAAAATAATCAGAATGGAATGAAAATTGACAACCAGATGCTAGAAACCGTATACCAGAACGCTACTGACTGCGTGGCTACACCATGTCAGATACGGTCTCTAGCCATTGGTGTGGACCATCCCGAAGCGCCCTTCCACGAAGACGTCACACACCCGTCTGACCAAGTCTCTCAGTCAATTTCCACACATCACTATACCACGTCATGAACTTGCCACCTCGCGGTTTCACCCAACTTGGTGAAGCCACGGCGTGTAATGCACACTGCAGAAGTCGGTCAGCTGCCATACGGAAGACGTAGCCTAGCCAACCTAAGCGATTAAGATTTAGCAAACACTCGAGTGAGGCATCAGAAGGCTTCTTACCAAAAACCAACAGGCGGACCTCAGCACTGCTCATCCCGTGTTCCCGTCGGACGTGAGCACTACTCCGCAAGCACCGGTGGCCAAACACGGCTAAGGGTTAAACGTCTTCACTGCGAGCTGGTCTGGTCTCTGCTCGATGCAGTAGTACCGACTTTACCGCGGTATTATACACTGTACCTTTCACTGACAAGCTGATATTCCACCGTTTACATCGACGGGTAAGTTTCTGTAACGCCACACAGGCCTTGCTGATACGCGAAGTAACTTCCTCAGTGATTTAACCACCCTTACTGACGCAACTATCAAGGTTAGTTAACTGATCCACCCCTTCCAGGGGTTTTTCGGTGGTAGCTGAAACCGGAGGTGTGTCGGTTCATTCCTGTCTTCTGAAGGTACAAAGCACATGCCCAAGAGTGCAGCGCTACTTGACAGTCTATCCAGTATTGTTAGCATGGCCACCGTTTCGGACCCAAGAAGAGCCGTCGTCCGCGTACTCCAGGTTTGTCAGTCCGTCACCTGGCAGAACTTCCACTCCGGTAGAGTCTGAAAGAACGGAGTCACTCATGGTCCTTTCGATACAAAAGTTGAAGAAGAAAGGGGGTTTAGGACAACCCTGGCGAACTCCACTTGTTGTGGGGAACTCAGGAGACAGTTTCCCGTGGACACTTACACGGTTTCATAGTAGTTGAAAGCGCCGGAGTTGAGAAGTTTGGGACAGTCTGCACCACCGCTGAGCTATTTTACCATACTCCTTACAAACGAATAAATCGTCGATTTACCGATGAGCGGTATGCGGCAGCTAAGCGGGAGTGATTAATTGTACACAGTAGTGCTGCAATTTACTCGGCTTAAAACATAATAATTGAAGTAAAAGATAGAAGATAGAATTTCGGATCATGAACATTTCCTCGGATCATCGTCCTTATCACTCGAAATGCAGGCCGAACGAATCTTTGTACTTCTGTTTCAAATTTTCTAGGTAGCGTATCCCGAGAGCAGTCAAAAGTGGAGTATGGTAGAGTCGGTTGCACAGACATATGCTTAATTTAATGAGCAATGAAAAAGGGAAGATGGGCTGACCGTATGCTATTGGTGGCTCATATGCTGTTTAGACCATCTATCGTCGATTGTTGTGCGCAGAGTGCCTTTACCACATTCGGCATAGTTAGCACTCGTGAATGCTAATAGTGGAAGTAGGCTCCACAGATTAGTATATCCGAGTAAAACAATAATTCATCGGACTTTCTAACTCGCAGTCTGTGATGACAACGAGTGGCCGTCACTACGAGTGGGGTAGATCGAAGTTTTCCGTACTTCAACGGCAGTACTTTGCGTGAAAATCCGCGCATTTATAATTTTGAGGCAAAGTGGGATCTTGTTCTTCAATCGTCTTAGCCAAAGTGGATCCATGCGGAGGTGGTGCCAACGGTCGTAGTAACAGGCTTGAGCAGTGCCCCATAACCAGCTTGGTAGATGATCATTTCACATTTTCTAAAGTTGTTCTGTCTTTCTTAAGTGCTTGCGAATGATAGATTATTTTGAATAAGTCAAGTCAGATTTCGGGAAGCGCATATGTTCTATTCATTTAGCCGGATGCTTGTTTTATTTTTTGCAACTTGATAAAGTATATGTTCAAAACATTATAGTAGTTAGAGTACCTAATTCAACTTGTTTGCTCGCATCATGCAGTGATGGCAGGCACTCGGACCTCGGGTCTTCGGGGTGTCAACCGTAATTTCTACTGTTCGGACCTATTTCAATGACCTTACAAACTACTCGTTCGTATAGATAGCAACAACTATTTATAGACATCATGTTTCCTCCTGCCAATTGTGATCATTTGTTCTGCAGCGAGTAGTGACCTCAAATCGATGTCACTGTCCACTCCCAACGTCTCCATTTTTCATCTTTAGCTCGTCAAAACTTGATCAAGATGTTTGAGGCTATGTAGGGAATCTAAAAGTTGGCTTGGTAATCTCTCCGATAGTCCTTGTGGTTCCGGACAATTGGGGGATAAATTTCTCATAGGCATAGGAAACAAGAACCTGGATTTGTGCTGCGCACCTCCCTCACTTAATTTTGTCGCCTGGTATAGCACGGTTGCCAAGCAGTTATCTTATATTTGCTGTTTTTTAGTTTTACTTTGTTTCACCATAGCAAAGTGTAATACCTCTATACTATTTACGAGTCATGTTAAGCCATAGCTTAGGTACTTTAGGCCTTATAGATTTCAATTTGAACCGTTACCATTTTCGAATTAATCCAGTCCAAAAGCCAGTCAACGTGCGGAACGGATTAAGTTGAAAAAGTAATGGCTCAATTTGAAATATTTATGGCCTAATTTGATTCCGCTATGGCCTAGCATGACTCCGAAATTGTCTTCTCTAGCCCCATAAGCTCATATGAATTTTTCACTAGTAACGATCGCTTATCTTCCCAACTCTTCTTTTCTTTCCTCACTTCCCATTAGCGCACAAATGTTTCGAAACAACAGGCGGATATCTATATGGACGATTTCTACGAACCAATCACCTCAGAGCCATCAGAGGAGGTCCTGAGTGAGGTTGCTCAGTTACAAAACGAGGTCACCAAACTGACAGCATCGAATCGTAAACTTTTGCAAAAGTTGGTCGAGCAAGAGCTTCGCACCTGAAAACTGTTTTCCTGCACCTGTACATGTTCCATCCATCCAGATCCATCATGTTTATCGCGAACGTAATAGGCTTTATCTTTTCTTGTAGATCGCTCTATGATTCTGCATACGGTGTCCTCGACGCTATGCGTACCTCCCTGAGCATTGGTCACTAGACATTTACTACGTGCCAGTAGTTTGCACCGAGGTGAAACATACCTGGATAAATCTTAACCAACTACTGCGCTTGACGCAGTTCAAACCCACGTGTTTTTATTTATTCCTTAAGCTATCACTGCGCTCCTTTTATTCGGAATAGTTTTGATTTCATCTAGGAGCCCGCTTATGTTTATTACAACACTCCTATTCCACTTGATCATCAATCAGCATTGGCTCGGCTTACGATGCTCGCGGTCATTTCCGTGTACTATTTCGGAGCCTATTTACCGGGTACCGTTACCAAGTTGTTCTACCCATTTCTTTCATAAGACCCACTTTTGCTGCCGTTACCTCCGACCAACCGAGGCGTAGATAAAAGCAGGGAAAAACGCCCTGCCGGAATTTCTCCCATAAGCACCCAAAGCACATTAGGTCTGAAGCAACCACCACCGGAACGTAGGAATATGCAGCTAGGCCAACTGAGAAAAAGTGTACGTCCTCAAGCTTCTACATGCAACACTGATACTGTTGTCGGGATAAGCCGCAGGGAACCGGCCCAATACTTACCACAATGTCTGACTACGTTTCCAAATCCCGCGACCTCAAGCTGGCAAAGCCCTTATGTGTGCGACACCGAAATAGCAAACAATGAGGTGGTAGGCCACACGGACTTACAGGTAAGAGGGTGCAATCCCTATCCACCTCAAGTCAAAATTCACCCACCACCACCCGCTGTATTACTCAATTGGCAACAATACAAACCGAAGCAAAATGAGTTTGTAGACTTCAGCATCCCCCCACCCATGTATACTACGGATGTAACTTCTTTTTTTAGACTATCGCACACCACCACTTCCTCCCCCACCAATCCAGCCCCTATCACGTGCGATTACGAATCAGAGAATAATCGAACTACTG